TGGAGGTTGGCACAGTGAATTGAGAGTTGGAGAGAATAGCCTTTTAAACCATACTACAAATATTTGTGGAACACTCTATTTCCATGCAGCCAAGACAGCTGGAACTCTCTGGAAAGACCTTGTGCTTGTGGGAGACCGTACAGAAAGGCCCTGATTGGAACTTTTTGCCTCCTCCCAGCCTTGCCATGTGGGGCCGCAGCTGCCTCAAGTCCTTTTCCAACAAATGGTGAAGGAATGAAGAAATCCAACTGCCTGGGGCTGCACGGCCTCAGTAGCAGAGGTAATAGCAGCAGAACAAGGAAGCCGTTGGTGATGGGCTCATTCTTGTACCTGCCCTCTTCCTCCAGGTGGCCCAGGCTTTTGCTCCTGACCAGAACTGGGAGCCAGAGCACTTTCATTCCTTCACTCCACAAGTAAAACTTATGCAGTGGCATGGTGCCTGGCGTGGGAACACCTCAGAGGATGAAGCCCTCAAGGAGTTCCTGGGCAGAGACAGTCAAGGCAACAAGTCATTCCAGTACAGGGCAACCAGTGCCGCCAACAGGGTGTAGACAGGATGGTCCCCACCCAGTCAGAGGGCAGGGTGCATCCCAGGTTCCCCAGACCTGATGGCTGAGCAAGAGTCAACCAGATTGGAGGGGGTGGGAAGCCTTTTCATTCATTCATACATACATTAATTCACCCCAAACATATTGAACTGAGCACTGCGCTAATCACGGAGTAAGAAATACTGTCCTCGAGGAACTCAGAGTATTGGGGGTGGAGGGCACGCCCAGGCTGAGATTGGGCTGTGGAGAAGTGAGCAGGGGCAGGGCGTGGGAGCCAGATAAGAATCAGGGCTTGGGGATATGTGAATGTAGGAGGGGCAGATGTCAGGAAGGATCTTTGAGAGGAGGCATGGGGCTATTCTGAGATCCTTGAGCTGGAGATGCTCCATGGGAACTTTGGGGGCGGTGGCATCTTTCTCCTTTTGAAACCTCGGCCCACTCAGTGTTGAACAAGAAAGACTAGAACATATGCAGGGTAAGGTCAGACTGTGGGCAAAGGGTGCCTTCGAAGGTAGAAGGCCCACCGATGGATCTCCAGAGGTGGGAGTTACAGGAGGGA